TCATCCCTGGGCTGTCCCTGGTGTGCTGTGAGTGTCCCTGGGATGTGCTCGGTCCCGTCAGGCTTGGGGCAAGCATCCCAGATGGCGTGGATGCCTCTCCATCTCGTTTGCCGTGGCAGCAGCCGTGGTATCCCCAAACGTCCCTGCTGTCCCCTGGCCACACACGCTGTGTGTCAGGAGAGGGAGCTCACACYGAGAGGGCTAAACAGGCGAGGGATGAGTGTGGGATGGGGTCCCCAGCCCAGCCTTTGTGGGGTCCCCCCTATCCCCTCAGTGAGGGGAATCTCTTTCCTCAGAGCCCCCCTTTCCGCCAGCCCTYGCCGCAGCTCCGGCGCTGAATTTCCTCCGAGCCCTCCTGCCCATATTGTGCTATTGATTGCTGAGCTGAACTTCCTCCCGAAATCATTAAAGCTTAAAAAATTGATGGCACAATAGAGCCCTTTATTAGCCACATAACTTTTCTTGCTTTCTTCCTTTCTTCTTAGGGGTTTTTTTTTTTTTTTTATCAACACAAAAGGGCAGAGCCTGAGCTCAGATTTGTGTCCCATGTCCCTGCGAGAGGGAGAGAGCTGGGCAGCGTGCCCTCCTCCACCCCAGCTACCCATCAGCACAGCCGTGCCAGGCTATTTATTAGGAAAAATGGCAAAGATGGAATCGATGTGTGCGTTTGTTTTTTTTTTTTTTCCTTTTCCTTTTAGTCCCGGCCTCCTCTCTTCGCAGCCTGCAGATAGGTCTATTTATTCCTGCTCTTGTAAATAAAAATATTTGAATGGGGTTTGTAATATTTTATTCCCTGTCATGCCTATCCTTCGGTCTAATGACRGCTGAGTTCTTGCTTGGTATTAACTTACCATTTTAGTAACAGTTGAGTTTTCCTGCAGGAAATCCCTCTGGGCTGGCCATTACTGTGTCATTGTATAACACAGCAGAAAGATGGATTACCTGGATGGATCTCCTCCAGCGTGACTTCAACCAAGTGACAGGCTTCAGCTAATTTATCCCCGCTCCCGCTGCAATTGTTGGGATGGGGTTTATAGCTTCTAGGAAATATTTGCAGAGTCTCCGGGCGTGCAATTGTAAATACAACCACTGATTTGCCAGGTGGGACTGTTGGCAGCATCCTGTATCATTGTGAAGCCCCAGCTCCTGGAGTCAAGTTAACCCCTATGAGTTCTCCTTTAGCATTGGGATACAAAGTTTTTACTTTTTGTGGTTATGCAGAAAGGTTTTAAGATGTGCTTGAGTGTGTCTGGGTAGAGGCRAAAGAAGGAGGCAGAAAAAAGGTGCATTTATATGTGCGAGCGTGCTCGGGTGTAAAATAAATCTCACGATTTCGAAGCCAATATAATATTTTGTTGAAGGATCCCTCAGCAATCGTGTGCTGGAGCAGGGATTGAAAGTCATGTAGAGGGGACACTGCCTGGCTGCGTGGCCTTGGGCCAGTCATTTATCTTCTGTGCTGCAGTGTCAGTGTCTCAGAGCATGGCTGCCCCTTTTCTGCTAGCCCTGTCTCAGTGCTGCACACTGTCCCTCTCCTCCTCACCGCAGCTGGCATGTGGCACCCTCTTACTTTTAATGCACTGCATTGGGGCGGAGACCCTTGAGTGCAAAACATCCTCACCCCACTGCAGAATGCTTCCCTGCTAGGGCAGGAGCAATTGGTGCATCCCTCTGCGCTCTCGGTTTTTCAGAAGGAAATCAGATTTGTTCTGGGTAAAGCCATCCACCCTGTGTGCCCCCAGTTTGTCATCCTTGCAGAATATGGCATGCTGCTGCTGAAAATGATGAAGCTGTGGAACAAGAATAGCTCAGAGGGGTTTGTGTTTGCAGATGACACTGAGCTGAGCACAGTTGACGTGCCTGAGTGATGGGATGGCATCCAGAGGGACCTGGACAAGCTCGAGAATGGGCCCGAGGGAACCTGGTGAGCAGGGACATCTTCCACTGTCCCAGGCTGCTCCCAACCCCAATGTCCAGCCTGGCCTTGGACACTGCCAGGGATCCAGGGGCAGCCACAGCTGCTCTGGGCACCCTGTGCCAGGGCCTCCCCACCCTCCCAGCCAGCAATTCCTTCCCAATATCCCATCCATCCCTGCCCTCTGGCACTGCCAAGCCATTCCCTGTGTCCTGTCCCTGCAGCCCTTGTCCCCAGTCCCTGTGCAGCTCTCCTGGAGCCCCTTTAGGCCCCAAAAGGGGCTCTGAGCTCTCCCTGGAGCCTTCTCTTGTCCAGGTGAGCACCCCCAGCTCTCCCAGCCTGGCTCCAGAGCAGAGGGGCTCCAGCCCTGGCAGCATCTCTGTGCCCTCCTCTGGCCTGGCTGCAGCAGCTCCAGGTCCTTCCTGAGCTGAGGATTCCCAGTTGACTCCAGGTGGGATCTTGCTGGAGAGGAGCAGATGCAATTACTGTTCTGGTAAGGTCAGAGAGTGCCTAGACCGGGGCTTTCCAGTTTCCAGAATCAGGTGCCTGAAGCCAAATTTGGGCATCTAAGTCTTTGTGAAAGCCTTCTTCTTCCTGGCTTGCCCAGGGCATCCCTGCAGTCCCAGCCCCTGTCCCATTGCAGTGGCACATTCTCCTCAGCAGTGAGGACTTTCTGTTCTCTTCTCTTGCCACGCTCCAGAAGCTTATACAATTTTTTTGGCGCTTTTCCCCGAAGTCATTATTCTGGGTAACATGGTTTGTTTGTTTATGCTTTTTGGTTTTAATCATACTTCTTTTTTTTCTTTTTATAATTTATTTATTGTGTCTGAAAAGCTCCAGGGCTTCCTTTCTACTCCCCCACTCCCAGATGGTCGCCTGTAAAAAAAGAAAAGGAAATATTAGAATAAAAAAGGAAATAGTTTGGTTCTGTAATGAATGAAGTTTGGTTTTTCCAGAGAGGATATGAGAGAGGAAAAGAAGGGTGGAGAAAGGAATGTCAGGTGTGTTTGAAGGGAAAAGTGTGTCCTGCCCTGTATTTTCAGCTCTGCCGAGTCTGTGCCACTCATTTTACAGCACCCCTATGAAAAGGCGTCTGGGTTTTGCTTTGCCTTTTATCACACCACAACCAGCTCAAAGAAACAACAATCACTCTTCTCATTAATGTGTTTCATTTATTTAATGAAACCTTATTTCTC